CTGAACATACCTTAAGACTCACAATGTCAAACAGGGTTTCATTGTCATGTGCAGAAACATAATTAACCTGGAAAGAAATCAAAGATGTCAATGAAATGATTATAGCAAATCATGTACATAACAAAGATCAGTTCCCAAATATTGATGTGGTCAGAAAAACTGATATTGATGCCAGTACCTCATTCAAAAGATGATGGAAGTACTAAAAAGACAGAAATTAATGGGAAACTTTGGCAGGAGTTAACAGAGAGATTAATAGATGATTTAGAGTTGAGAAACTTCTGCAAGATATAACTCCTAATCAGAGCTTAAGTACTGCTCTAGTGCGTGACATAAGAGAAAAAAAATCCTAGTAATTTAAAACTACCACCAACAACCTAGTTTGAGATAAAACAAGATGTCAACAGCAACACTGACAAACATGACTTCTCTCTTTTCAAACGAATTGAAATCTCAAAGTTTGGAAATCTCTATGATGCCTGCTAGTGTAGTTTGAATGACTAGTTGTTTCTTGTTGAAAACTATGTATACATGTAGTCAAGGGTATATATGTAATTGTAGTGTGTGTATATATTTGTTAGGTTGTACTGTTGAGAAAAATAGAAAATAGAAATTGAAAAATGCAAATATTGAAAACATGGTATCAGAGTGGGACTAAACCCTAAAACTCGTTTCTACGTTTCTGTTTTCCAGCGGCCGGCGAACCTTCTGTTCATGGTTTCTCTCTCTCCGGCGACATCTGAATCTGTCCGACGAACCCTCGACCTCCTCTATTATCTTCGGCGACATCTGTTCTTGGTTTCTCCCTTTCTGACAACTTCTGCTCTCGGCCTCTCCCTTTCCGACGAATGCTGGTTCTATTCCAGTTAACTTGTCCCTTTCTTCTGCTCATTCCGGCGATTTCTCCCTTGGTTTCTCTCTATTCATCTCGACTTTCCGACGACGCAATCCCTTTGCTTCCTTCGACAACGTGATTTCTTTGCTCTTTCCAGTGGCCAGTAATCTCTCCTCTGGTTTCTCTCTTCTCTGTTGTTCCCAATTATTCCTTTTACAAGAAAGTGGCTGGTTTCTTTCTGGTTGTTTGAGATTGGGGTGCATTTGTGTGCTTGGGTCGTTTGGTTTTGAGGTTGTGATTCTGTGGAGTTAGGAGTTATTTCACCCTGTCAATTGCTAGACAATACGGCAGAGGACGGTAAGAAGATGGTGACTAAAATTGTCACTTCCTCCACCAAAATAACTTATCGAAAGTTATTGGGAAAAATGAATTGTATTCAATGGAAACAGATTATCCGACGATATGTGTCCAACATTGACATGGGAGACCATTTAATCGAGGATCCACCTAAGGAAACAAAAAGTGATAGTAAAACTCTAAAAAAATGGCTCATGGAAGATGATAAGCTCTTCAATCAGTTTCAGAACACTCTCACTTCGTCTGCAGATGATGTGACTAGTCATTGTGATATCGTCAAAGAGTTATGGGAGTATCTAGAGTTCTTGTATGCTGGTAAACAAGACTTGTCTCATGCCCATGAATTGTTATTGAAGATCTACCGGGCAAATATGCAAGAGAAGACATTGCTCGAATATTATACAAAGAGAAAACAAGCTTTTGAAGAAAAAAGGGCTATGTTTCCTGTCCCTACTGATGTGAAGATGATGCAAACACAAGAAGAACAAGTGGTCGTGCAATGTTTTCTGGCTGGGTTGAGACCAGAATACGAAATAGCTCGTACACAGCTTATTACCGACGAGACACTTCCCTTTCTTACAGATGTCTTTGCTCGACTTCTCAGAGTTAGTAAGGGGGAAGATCGAGGAGTTTCTAAGGACAAAGAAATCCTTAAGGATCCTAATGTAGATCATGCGGCCTTAGCTAGCATGAAGCCTAGTGATGACAAAGGCAACAAAGGGGCAAGTTGTGATATTGGGAACAATCGTGGTAATGGCCCTCGTACTTGCTATCACTGTGGTGCTGAGGGTCATGTAAAGAAGAATTGTTAGAAGCTCCATAGGAAGCCCCCGAATATGCAAGACACTCATAAGTTTGCTCATGTTGCAACCCAAGATGGTCTCTTACCATCCCCATCACAGGTTTCTATCTCTGCAGCTAAATATGCTCGCCTCACTCAGCATTCTAGCTCCCAGTCATCCATCCCATCGACTACCACTACATTAACCCAGTTAAGTAATCCTACAGCCTATTTGTTCACTTCTAATAGTAATTGGATCATTGATTCTGGTGCTACTCACCATTAGGGGTGTTAAAAGAAAATGTAAAAACTGAACCGAAAAAACGGTTCGATTGCGGTTCGAAAAATTCAAAAAACCGGATTCCGGTTTAGGAAAAAATAAAAAACGGTTAACCGAAACCGGTTTTTTGAACCTGTTTAACATATATATATATATATTAAATAAAAAAAGAATTTCATTTCAGACTTTTATTTGTATCAATTTTTAATGTATTGTTAGTAGTGGTCAATGGATATGTATAAATATTTAATTTTATTTTGATATGTATTGTTTATATTTACAATTTAATTTAGGAAAAAATTAAAAAAAAATAAGTTTTATAAAAAAAAAAAGGGAAAACCGGTTCAAAATCGATTAACCGCTTTAAAAGAATGATTAATCGAAAAACCGGTTTTCCCTCCAAACGATTTTGAACACCCCTGCTCACCATATGATGAGCGATACAAGTATTCTCTCCTCATTTTCACCTTCTTCTGATTTGTCTTCTGTTACCTTAGCTAACAGGTCTACTGCACCTATTATTGGATGTGGTATCGCCCATCTCACCAAATCTATGTCTCTCTCCTCTGTTTTGTGCCTTCCTCATTTTCCCTTTAACCTATTATCTGTTAGTCAAATTACTAATGCATTCAACTGTGGTGTTTAGTTTTTTCCTACTCATTGTATATTTTAGGATCTTGGGACGAGGCAAATTATTGGTAGGGGTCTTGTATCAGGTGGCTTGTATATGTTCGATGATGTCTCCACTCCAGTCCCTTAACTTGTTGCGTGTACTAGTGATTCAACTCTATCCATATTACATGGTCGCCTTGGTCATCCTTCCCCTCCCATTTTGAAAAAGTTGTGTCCTAATGTAAGGTCAACGTCACACCTTGAGTGTGAGGCGTGTCAGTTTGGGAAACACCAACGAGTGTCTTATAGCCCTAGGATAAACAAAAGAGTCATAGCACTCTGATGTTTGGGGTTCTTGCCCTATTTTTTCTAAGTCTTGATATCGATACTTTGTAATTTTTGGTGGATGATTTTTCACGTGTGACTTGGTTGTACTTTATGAAAAATCGTTCTGAATTATTCTCCATATTTTGTACATTTTATGTTGAAATACAAAATCAATTTACTTCATCTATTAAAATTTTCAGAAGTGATAATGCCAAAGAATACATCCATGCACCTTTCTCCTCTTTTTTGTCTACTAGAGGTATTATTCATCAATCATCATGTGTATATACACCTCCAGAAAATTGGGTTTTTGAACGCAAAAATCATCGTTTATTAGAAGTCGCTCGTACTCTCATTTTTCACATGAAAGTCTCTACAGAATTTTGGACAGATGTTGTCTCTACTGCATGTCACTTGATCAATCGCATGTCTTCCTTTGTTTTGGGTGGTCAAATCCCATACTCCATCCTTTTTTCCATCTCAGCCTTTATTCTCTCTTCCTCCTAAAGTGTTTGGGTGCACGTGCTTTGTTCAAGATGTTAGACCTCATGTCTCCAAATTAGAACCTAGATCTCTCAAGTGCATATTCTTGGGTTATTCCCGATATCAGAAGGGTTATCGTTGCTTTTCTCTTGTCCTAAGTAAGTACCTTGTCTCAACTGATGTTTCCTTTTTTGAAACCACTCCATATGTTGAGTCCTCCATTCCATCTACCTCTCTTGAAGCACCCCCTGATAATTTTCTTGTTTACAACATTACCCATCATAGTCCTCTACCATCTCATCCTCTAATCACCCAGGTATACTCTCGCAGGGTTCACCAACACCATGAGGCACCTGCATCAGCATCTAATCCACTACCTCTATCGACTACCTCGCCCTCATATATGGCTCCTCCTACTTCTGACCTTGATCTTCCCATTGCTCTTGGTAAAGGTAAGCGCTCTTGTACCTATCCTATCTCCTCATTTGTTTCCTATCACTCTTTGTCTTTGTCTTCCAAGTCTTTTATTGCCTCTTTGGACTCTGTGTCTGTTCCTAGCTCTGTGTCTGAAGCAATTACTCATGATGGGTGGCGAAGGGCTATGGAAGAAGAGATGTTGGCTCTAGAGCATAATGATAAATGGGTTTTAATGGATTTACATGAAAATAAAAAGGTCATTGGGTGCAAATGGGTTTTCACAGTGAAGGCTAATCCTGATAGGTCTATGGCTCGGTTGAAAGCTCGGTTGGTTGCCAAGGGTTATGCCCAGACATATGGTATTGATTACTCCGAGACATTCTCCCCAGTGGCTAAAATGACCTCTATCCGGCTATTCATCTAACTTGCAGCTTCATATAGTTGGCCTCTTCACCAACTTGACGTAAAAAATGTCTTTTTACATGTTGATCTTCTTGAAGAGGTTTACATGGAGCAACCTCCGAGGTTTGTTGCTCAAGGGGAGACAGGAAAGGTATGCAAACTGAAGAAATCTTTATATGGCTTAAAACAATCTCCACGGGCTTGGTTTGGGAAGTTTAGCAAAGTGGTGACTCAGTTTGGTTTACATAGAAGTGCTTATGATCATTCTATCTTCTATAAACAATCTAGTTCTGGCATCATTCTTTTGGTTGTTTGTGTTGATGATATTGTAATCACTGGCAGTGAAATGTTGGCATTCAAAGTTTAAAAAACTTTTTGCCTTTTAAATTTCACACAAAAGATTTGGGCACTTTAAGGTATTTTCTTGGAGTCGAGGTTTCTCGGAGTAAGAAAGGGATTTTCCTCTCTCAACGCAAGTATGTGTTAGATTTATTGACCGGAATGGGCCTAATTGAGGCTAAGCCTTGTGACACTGGCAGTGATGATGTTGGCGTTCAGAGTTTAAAAAACTTTTTGCCTTCCAAATTTCACACAAAAGATTTGGGCACTTTAAGGTATTTTCTGGGAGTCGAGGTTTCTCGGAGTAAGAAAGAGATTTTCCTCTCTTAATGCAAGTATGTGTTAGATTTGTTGACCGGAATAGGCCTAATTGAGGCTAAGCCTTGTGACACTCATATGGTTCCTAATGTGAGATTGAATGTTGAGGATGGAGAGATGTTTAGTGATCCAAAGAAATACAAACAGATAGTTGGAAAGTTGAACTACCTTACAATACCCGTCAAGATATTGTTTTTTTAGAGAGTGTGGTGAGTCAATTTATGTCATCTCCTGGGACATCTCATTCGGATGCGATCCTTCATATTTTGAAGTATCTAAAAGGAGCCCCTGGACGTGGGATTCTTTACAGTGATCATGGTCATAATAAGGTAGAAGGATTTACAGATGCAGATTGCGCAGGATCCTCTGTGGATTGACGGTCTGTGATTGGGTTTTGTGTTTTTGTTGGAGGAAATCTTATCTCTTGGAAAAGTAAGAAACAACCGGTTGTAGCTAGACAAGTGCAGAGTTCGAGTATCGAGCTATGGCACAAGTTACTTGTGAGCTTATATGGACAAGACATCTTCTTAGAGAAATTGGGTTTAGTGATCCAGGGACTATGGACTTGTGGTGTGACAACCAAGCAACCATATATATAGCAAACAATCTAGTCTTTCAAGAGCGGACTAAGCATATAGAAGTGGATTGTCACTTTGTGCAAGAGAAACTTGAACAAAAGCTAATTACTACTAATCATTTTAAAACAGGGGAACAACTAGCTGACATCTTTACGAAGTTTCTAGTTGGTAAAAGGGTAACCTATATTTGTAACAAGCTGGGCATGATAGATATATGCTCCAGCTTGAGGGGGAGTGTTGGAAACTATGTATATATGTAGCCAAAGGTATATATGTAATTGTAGTGTGTGTATATATTTGTTAGGCTGTACTGTTGAGAAAAATAGAAAATTGAAATTGAAAAATGCAAATATTGAAAACATTTTTCAATAGACTTATCCAAGAGAAAATGGTCCTTAAGGATCATAGTTATAAGCATAATGAAGAGCACATAAAATTGAAAAGCAAGAATGTAAAATCATGAGAAAGATAATCATAGCATTCTCTTACTGTCTCTGTGGGGCACAATGTATAAGCAACAGGTATTCCACCATAAGTTAAAATTTCAGATCCTTTAACCTAACAAAAGCATCATAATAAACATCAATCAAGCTTTATATCTTCTGGCTTAAACTAACTAATAAGCAAACAATCCTACATTAGTTAGTTTTGCAAGTTGCAACCTGGTCCTCAACGGGCTAAGATGTCTAAGACCACAAGGTCCACAACTATATTAATGAAAATAACTATTTAAGTAACCAATTCTAGATAAGTACAATTCTATAAACAGAGAGAAAATCAAACTTTTTCTAAGTGACAGTACAAGATACCTCTTTCCCATCAGAATTAGTTAGCACAAAATCCCTCAAGTTTGCAGCCAACCCAACCTGAGTGTGAAATTATTTCATTTAGTTGTATATCCAAGAATCATACCTCACGAAACTCGGAAGACGTGGATTGTTCTTTGATTGAAAGTATTACTCTCAATTTTTCCTCTTCAAGCATTTGAATTTATATCATGTAAACAATCTAGGGAGGTCATGTCACCATAACAGTATCTGACTTTGAAATTATTTACTTGACACTGTCAAAATATGGAAATGCATCAAGAAGAGAAACCTGGATGTGGTCCTTCGCTGCAGCAAGCATTTGTTCTTGATTTGCTACTGTGCCATGGTCATGACCATTGGGCTGCATAAGAAGAATAAACGATTACACTAACTAGAAGTATAGTAACAACTAACAATAGCCAACCAGCAAATGCATACGCATAGCTTCTGTTTACCCAGAGAGGATTAAAAAAATACATAGTAGGAAGTAAGTTTAGCAACTTTATTCCTAAATACTAAGAACAGTTAACTGCTAATATAGGGTGCTGTTGCTTTGTCTTACAAAAATAATACATGAAATTATCATTTGTTTCCAGGTGAGGGCTGTAATGACAATTTTCAGCAGTATAATTATTAGAGCAGAAGTAAGAAAAGGAGAGATGCATTTGGAAGATTACAACTGAATATGGAAAAACAATATCAGAAATGAACCAAAAAATACAAAGAGAACCTGACATTTGGTTGATAACTGATTAGAGACGAAAATCCTATTACCAAAGCTCTCTTTTTAAGTACATAAGTATATGTTCTGTAATAACAGCATAGCAATAAAGTCATACCAGGAAGACAAAATGTAATTGGTGAAACTCTTTCAGCAGATCATGTCAACAGAAAAGTGCAGCATAAAAAGTTTTTTCTGTTTTGACAAAAGCAGAATAAGCGTAACTCATTGAGTGCTAAGAACTGATGGCGTTTATTGTACTTTATATGTCATTGACAAGAAGTTAGTTTTAGTGGTTAACACAGTCACTTTGTGATTACAGCAAATTTACATTCAAAATGTATAACACAACAAGACACTATAATGAAAAGTTTAATGCTTCCTCCAAAACAAAAATTTGAATACCTGCAGCAATAAACCAGTAACGAATCCCTGCTGAAGAGGATGGCCAAATGGAGATCCACCAAGCATTGCATCTCGAATTCGATCATTAAAGCTGATTTAAAGTTTGAAATTACTCATAAAAGCCAAACTTAAAATAATTAATAAAGTATAAAATTTCTATATGACTAGCAAAGATAGTAGATAAAGATAAGATGGACACATGGTCTCGTTCTATATGAATAGCAAGCCATTTTAACCATTAAGGCATCAAATCTAAAACAAATTCTACATATTTTTGTCTTTTCCTGAAAGGAAAGATGTTGCATATCGGGAGAAACCAGATAAAAAAGCAACAGAAGCTGAGAGAATGTTCTCGCTTGTCAACGAGTCAACCACACGATGTTGATGGAACGGATAGATGAATTCTACAGGTAATCCCCCCTCTTAAGAAATCAATATATGCTAGTAAACATAAACTCAACAAAGAAAGAGTACCTCCCGATTCCAGTCCCACATATGTTGAACTGAGAGGCATTTATGCCACGTCCATTTTTTGCAACTTCCCCAAAGTCCCATCCTTCACCATATCTAGAAAGAGGAGTTTTTTTTTTTTTTCTTAGGAATTATGCTGTGAATATATGTACCAGGAAGAATAAATATAAAAAATGTAAAATAACAACTCCGTGGCCTAGTAAAAACTTGGGAAGTACCATAACTCTCTACTCACATATAGATACTTGACCCATCCACTCCATGCATTTCTTTTGTTAGGCTATGAAGTGCCTTTTTTGCTTTCACCTGAAAACAAGTGATTCATGGTTCAGAACAACAAATCCAAATCATGCCAACTTTTTGCCCATATCATCATATCAAAATCCAGCATCAATTAGGGGAAGACATTGCAGACAAAGACTTGACCTCAAAGTATGTGGTGTAATAACAATAAATATTTACCAATGAAGGGCTAACAAAAAAAAACCAGAATATATGCATGTAGCATTTCAACTCAGATGCTTCTTTTGAGACTCACAAACAGCACTGGGCTTCTAAATACTTTTTTAAGGGAAATCTCAAAAATTAATAGTAAAAGAGAGCCATATACCATTGTTCTTTTCATTATATGACCCATAAGGTCAAATCGGAACCCATCAACCTGAGAAAAACATAATAAGATCAACTATCAGTGATTTAAAAAGCCACCAGTTAAGATACTAAAAGCATCAGCCACATATTGTAAACTGTCTTAAGCCAAATCTATTGACTAATTACAAAAGTACTTCTCTTTATTTACAGAAAGGAAAGAGTAGCTTTCAGTTAATACACATGCATGAGAGTCTGCATAATGGAATAAGAAAACCATAGAATGTTGTAAATGTTATCACCTTATAATTAACTGCCCAAGACAAAAGATCATCAAGGATCAAGCGCTCAACCATATAATGCTCGCTAGCAGTGTTGTTTACACATGTACTGTTCTCGATAAAACCATCAGTATTCCTTCTCAGATAGTAACCTGGCACAATCTATCAGGAATTTTTTTATGTCATAGTTTAGTAGATTATAACTATTGGTCAGACTGCAATTATTTATATGGTGATAATCTTACAACTATGAATCAAACTACAATAGAAGTAGCATAGGTAATAGAAAATCAATCATAAAAAATGACCTTATCAAGGACAGAATTCTCATCCAAAGGCCCATTTCCATGTAAATGATTGTAGACAACATCCAACACAACACGAAGGCCAATTTGGTTAAGAGCCTGCAGGTAAACAAAAAAGGTGATGCATTCATTTTGTTGACAGTATCCATTAATAAGACCCATAAATCCGTGATCCAAATCAAAAAATGGGCCAGTCATACAAAGAAAAACGTTAATTTTAATTTAGACCTGAACCATCTTTCTGAACTCCATTGTACGGCGACAACCTCTTGGGTTACTAGCATAGCTTCCTTTAGGAACCCCCCAGAGAACAGGATTGTACCTTAAAAGGAAAAAGAAAGTAATGTAAACATACATAAGACAACAAATCTGGACCATTCAACAAGTCAGATTCAGGAGCTTACCCCCAGTTATATGCATCGTCATCTTGAATGGCTGTTATTTGTGATTGTTGCTCAGGTGAATCAGGTGGTAACTTTTCCAGCACCTCAGTATCTGCAAAAAACTTGATGTCACATATATGAACGATGCCAAAAAGATGAGACATGAATTCCCAGAACTCAAAAGAAATCAGAAATTTGGATTATCAGAGGTTAAAGTAAAAATTATTCTTACCCACATTCTTCCATTTCTCTTTCTCGTCATCAACGCCAGCGAATTGGAAGGTTGGAAGCAGATGGACATGAGTAATACCAGCATTTGATAATTTCTTTAGATGAAGTACACCTGCTGAGTCCTTCAAGTAGCATAAAATAACTGTTCAGTTATAGACCATCAAAGAATTGTTTTCTTCCCTACAGATGAAAAATATAATTAATGTGGAATATAGTTCCTTCCAAAATTTCATATTTACTTTAACTTTTAGGGTCCAACTAATGTAGTGGAAAGTAGATTGTAGAACTGATATTAAAGTTGGCAAAGACCATAAAGTCTTCTGCTGTTGAGAATACTTAGAGCTATCTCTTAATAATCTCATCAAAGAAACTTTAGGAAAATTACACCACTGTAGAAGCTTGTATAACAAAAAGTAAAATTTCACTCAAAATAATAATATAGATTGTACAACAAACAATTGAAGAGTAATTGAGCATCTTCATAAAGTAAAATGTTCCAACTAGAGAATTTTTTTCCTTTCATTTTTGTTACATCAATCAAGAAGATCAATTAAAAAACTCAAAAATAATAACAATACAATAAAATAATGTATGTCGCCAAGAAAACAGAAACCAAGACAAATAAATAATATTTGTTCCTAAATTGTTTAGGGCTTAATGTTTAGGGTTCTATGTTGAAGCACATGAAGGATATTCCTTCAAAGATTTGTGGTATAGACAGCTAAAAAAAATCTTATTATCTTCTTCTTTTGAAAGGGCCACAAGAATAGAACTACCTGTGCAGTAAAAGCTAAATAACCGCCACGAAAGTCAGGTTGCACAGTATGGTCGTTGACACTGCCAAAAAGAATATCATAAGGAACACAAACTAACAGAATCTAAAGAATGCCAAAATAAGTGATAGAATCCAGCAAACTTGTTTTCAGTACATAAACTTAAATTCATGTCTTTCAGAAATTTTTGAGTTAAGAAATCATACTAGTCTCAGAGTGAGACTAACACATCAACAGCAAGGCCCCAATTCACAAATTTCAAGTTGGGACAAATGCAAGCTCCACAGAGTTTGGTAACTTTAAAATTTAAAATCTGGAGTCTGGACTATAGGCCTCTTCCTCAATCGTGAACTCTGAAAACAATTTGGAAACTGTCTAGGAAAGATATAAAAATGTGCTACCTAAAAAATTTCTCAAATGCTTAAAGAATTAAATAGAAGATATAAAGAAAATTAAGTATAAATTTTCACCTGAAGTCTCGTACATGCAACTCATAAATACTTATGTCAGAGAAAGAAGCTATATCAGGTTTCTCATTTGCTAATTTATCCCATCCTTCCGGTTTTAAAGAATCAGAATCAAGGTTGACCAACAATGTTCGTCTGCCATCTGATGAGAGCCTGCTTCAACAAGGAAACAGTGAGAAGAGTAAACATTGTTGAAAATCCTCATACACATGCAGTTTTTTTATGAAAAAGAACTCACACACATATGCATTAGACACACAATTTGTATCATGGTAGAATACTATCTAACTTTAGAATGTGAAAACACCTTAGCTAATTTCAGAGAAATATTAGCTAACTGAGAAAGTCAGCATACCCTCTAGCATATGGATCGTTTGCATAGCATTTTTCAACATGCAATGTGCTTGGATGGAAGACAGATACTTCATAGACATAATAACAACCTTCCCAGCTTTTTGGTCCTTTAATACTCCAAATGCCATCAATCTCCTTGAGCTGGACAATCTCTAGGGTATTTTCATCTAATGGATCCCGATAGATGCAAGCACGTACTAACTATTATAACAACAAAAATTGGAAAGAAAACATCACAAAAATGATTCGGGGAATGGAAAAGGCTTGAGAATGCATGAACTAAACAATAAACACTTATTTTGAGATATATTTACTTGCGCTGTAGGTGCCCAAAGGTAAAGTGAGACAGTTTCTTCTGAATAAAGAGCACCAAGAGGACCATCATATGAGAATAGGTCATCCAGGATACCAGGTAACTGTAAACCAGTAGCATCACTACATTTCCCATCAGCTGTATAAAGTGAAGAAAACTCATCAATATATTAACAGGATTTAAAGATTGAAATTAAAATGTTACGGAAATCAATAACATCAAAGAAACTCAGGGCTCTTTCACCTACATAGGTTATTTCTCATTTCAAAAGATACAGTTAAAGTTGGTTCAATTTCTCATTACAACATGTTCCTAGAGCAAAAAGAAACTCAGGGCTCTTTCACCTACATAGGTTATTTCTCATTTCAAAAGATACAGTTTAAGTTGGTTCTACTTCTCATTACAACATGTTCCTAGAATGAAAAAATATATTGTATACAATAACCTTGGAATTCCTAAGAAATTCTCTGTCACCACCTACTGTTATACACCAATCATTTACTCCTATAATTCATGAGCCTTTATCTTTTCTAAACTGTTATAGAGATGAAAGAGAAAAAGAAAAATACTTACAACTGAAAGTAGTAACTGCTAACTGACACTTGATGAGCGATTTAGCATCTATAGTAGGAGGCACTTTAAAAGCTCTATAGTCTCGAATATTAGGAAACTTTTCAATCACCTAAGAACATTAAGTTTGGAAAAACAAAATTTTAAACATCATTAATCCTTCAAAACATATAGAAATTACAGAAGAGTCTGCTAAAAACTTAAGGTATTACATTTGCCGGAAGCCCACCGCTGTCCTCTTGAAGCTTAATTCTAACATCCTCACCTATAACCAAGTAAACCTCGTCAAGGTTTAGTTACAATCATTCTATTTGACAAAAATAAAACATCTGTAGCATAAATGAGAGGTCATAGTTAATAAGAGAGTGAAAACCTTTAATCCCATCATATGCAACCGATAAAGTAGCTGATTTACTAGCATACAAATAGCAGTACTCATCTGGGCCATCCACATTCCAGGCGATTATAGTTTCACTAACCCAGTATGCTCTTGAGGAAAACAAGCAATCCTGCATCTGATTATCCTATTAAAAGAATTAGAAATCAGTTCATGCCAAAGATTTACACATCATTGATATATAAGAAATCAAACAATTTTTCTTCCTACATGAGTCCCATTCCATTAATTCTACACTACAGTTTCTTTCAAGAGTGCTTATGCAAAAACACATTCAAGTAAACGCATTCTCTGAAAAAGCACTAATCATCAAATGATTCTTTTTAAAACACTTTCAAGTGCTTTTCTTAATTAATTTTTTTTTCTGCAAATACGCCTTAAAAGTGTTTCACCAGAAAACTCAACGTTCTTTCATTGAGCCAACCTTTAAAGTGATTTTTTATTTAGCCAAACGATCAAAAAACAAAAAATTGAAACAACTAAGTATTTTACCATTCAAAGCAGTTTTTGAATCCCTAAATTCTACTTCTATTCAGAATTAAGCGGAAAGCATTTATATGAAATGTCTTAAGTATTTCCTTTAATTGCTTTGACAGTTCAAGCAATTTTAATTTCAAAAATGCTAAAATAAAAATAAAATAAAAAATAAAAATAAAACATTGATCTCAAAATCATTACAATCAAAACCAATAATCCTTTTCAGGTGCACCTACTGTACAGAAATCGTATCGGTACGAAGCGATTGGTTCGTAATATGTAGCATTCCAGTTTTACGTTACAGGTGACCTATCAAAATCTTCTTCTCCGAATCGCTATTCTTTGTAATTCTTTACCTTCAATTTTAATTTAGAGAGGGAACTAACTTTTAACCTGAGAAGATGACGTGGAGATTTCAAGCGGCATGGAAGAGGAAGAGCAGCAACAGCGAAGAGCTTCGTTTCTGCTGTGGAAGGTGATGGCAAGAGTTGACTGAGAGTTGCAACGGCGTCGTATAGGGAATGAAGGACACGTGGCAGATGGAGGAGGAGAGAGATGGAGATGACCGTTGGAAGTTGAAAGACGAAGAGGAGATGTTGATGATAGCAACAGAGACATTTCAGTTCAGTTCGAACTTCTTTTTTCTTTTTTTCTTTTTTTACAAAAAGTAAAAAGAAGAAGAAGAAAATTACTGAGAATCTACTTCACTGATTGCCTTTTAGATCTCTCTGTTTCTCAGATTTTTTGTGAATTTTTTGTTGTTGGTTATTTTCACTTGATCATTTAAGATTTACATTTTGTTTATTTATTAAAATAAATAGATGATTTCGTGGTAAACCATTTATTTAGAAGGAATAATATTTATAGATTTCGAAATAAATTAATATAGGCACATTTCCATAAATGATTGAGTGAATTAATATAAAAAGCTAAATTATTGCCACTTCACTTTGAATACAAAACTTTGTATAAACTCTTTATATGTCTAAAATTATTCTTACTTAAATTATAAAAAATAAGAGGACTCCAAGGTTAATTTTAGAGTTAGCGACTTTTTTCACTCACATACTTTTAAAATATTATTTTATTATTAAAATTTATATTCCAACGACAAACATAGAGCAAAATCAGTCTAGACTGTTAGGGCTTTTGAAGAAAGAAGGCTGATGAGCATTTTAGTGGTGGAACGTTGGATTTTAGTGATTGGGATTGATTGGAATTTGACTTGGGAGGGACGGTTACGCAAACCCTAATCGCTTGATTGCCAGCGATTGACGGAGTTAGCGAAAGTAAGATTTGAATGGTTTTGGTGAGTGATGTTCGGAGAAGAGAATGGGAATGGTGTGGGGCCACAATGATATCGGAATCGAAAATAGAATATAAATTTGGATAATAACATGGTATTTAAAAAGTTAGTATGAGGAAAAATGTCATTAAGTCATTATTTGGGTGAAAAAATGTCGTTGGTTTACTCTTAATTTTATTCCCCATAGATATAGTTAAATATTAAACCCCAACAATTTTCAAAAAATTATTAGAAAAGAAACTTATATAGTAAGTTTATTATAGAGATTTTGCAATATTCTTAAAGAAACTTTTAATAATTTAAAAAAGAGATATTTAATACTTTTCCAATATTATTAAACATTGCGACTTAAGTCTTAACATCCTCTCATAGGAGGAACTTCAAGTTACAAATGAATGCATAATATCTAATCTAATATTTAGAGAGATAAATAATTTCAGCTATTATTTCACATTAAATGACATGACATTTTAATTCAAATAAAGAAATGTTTTGGATAATTCTTGGTACTATACTATTACTAGATGGAAGTCCCAGCGTTGCTTGGGTATATTTATTGGATGTTTTTGAAACAGGTTGTAAACAATTTTATGATAATGATAGAAACCACTTCGAACAACGTAAAAGTAAACTATAACAGATCAATGGATTTCATAAAGATAATAACAATATCCAATGTGATTTTCTTGCAATTTTATATTTCTTAAGTAATTAATGTATTCGATTAGTAAGAACCATTTTTTATTTTCGTTTAAGATATTGTTTGGCAACTTGTTTACTACAATTAATAGTTGTTTACCATATTTTTTGAACGGGTAATATCAACGATGATTGGTGGATTTGTTAAAGATAAAAACAATATGAGATGTCATTATTAGATAGTAAGAACCATTTTAATTTTCATTTTGAATAATGGTTGTTCAGCATATTTGTTTAATAGGTAATTGTTGAAGTGAAGACTAAAACGACATCACTTTGAGGCTTAAATGAAACGCTGCGTTTTGAGACAACACGAGTTGAATCCTGGCCATTGAACAAGTTCATATCCAACGGCTGAGAATTATCAAAGGAGTCAACGGTATATAAGTAAATGAATAGTTGAAATCATAAGGTTGCGCAATTTGGGTTTTTCTCTTCGAAAGGTTCTTATTGTTCTCTATTAGGGTTTACACAGATTTTGGGAAATCATTGTAACTTGGGTAGATTGGTTAAGTTTTTAGTCAATCAGGAGAGTCTTTTGCTCTTGTGCTTGAGGATTCCTAGTGAGTATCCTTAGGGTTGGTTGCTGAGTGATTTTCGTGTAGATCTATGAGGGTGTGATCTTGATTGTACTGGTTACTGTTTGAATCTTGTTCTAATAGTAGTGCCGTGAGCTCTCCCATTTTCGGAGCTCAACGTGGACGTAGCTTATCCACTTTGGATAAGTGAACCACGATAAAACTTGCGTTGTGTGTTGGTTTGATTTCTTGTGATTGTGTAATCTGTTGGTTGAATTGTGTTTATTGGTTTGTTACAATAATGGTATCATAGCTAATAGACGTTATGATTGATTGATTTGTTGATTCACCGGTGATCTAAGGTTTTCTAGAAGAACTAGGGTGTTTTAAGATTTCGGGGGTTTTTCAAATTGGGTCTTTCCTTGGTGATCTAGAGTCCTAGGGTTAAAGATTCAAGTCGTCAAATCGTCAATTAAGGAAGTTCTTTGAAGATTTAGGTTCGTGTCTTAGCAAATCGTTCAAGAATCCATTCGTCAATTCTGTCTAGGGTTTCAATTACGGCTTCTTGAAACAGAGTCAATTTTAAACACAAATATGACAACCACACAATTGGAAATCACTCAATACGATGGAAAAATTGATTTTGGGAGTTGGAAGAAGAAGATGAAGGCGTTAATTTCTCACAACAAGGTGGGAATTGCCCTAGAAAAGGACACATCCAAATGGCTAGAAAAGAAACTAAAGAAGAAGGATGAGATCAACGAGGAAGCGTACAATCACATAGAGATGAATCTATCAGACAATATCCTGCGAAAGGTAGATGGGCTAGAAACTCCTCTAGCCCTATGGGGTAAACTCGAAACCTTTTACTCTTTACAGTCTGCACCCAATCTAGCTTTTTTGAAGGGTGCCCTATTTTCGTACAAAATGGATAATGCTAAGTCGATTGAGGACAACCTGGATGAGTTTTTAAAAATGACTCTAATCCTTAAAGGGACTGATCAGGAACTAGGGGACACAGGCTTACCAATGATCTTACTGAATTCATTAACCAAAGAATACATAGTAGTAAAGAATGCTCTACAGTATTCAGGGACTGTGCCTAGTTTAGACTTGATAGTTGCTGAACTCAAAGCTAGGGAAATAGAGCTAAAAGTCCAAAAAAGATCAGGTAGCAATCTGTTTGTAAGAAGTAGACCAAAATCTAGTCAAGCAAGAAAGACTAACCAGTATCAGCAAGGGTCTAAGAACAAGAAAAAATGGAAGGGTAATAATAAAACAAAATCAGACAGTAGGAAGTGTTTCTTTTGCAACAAACCTGGTCATATCAAGAGGAACTGTTTTGATTGGCTAAAGAAACAAAAACAAGGAAACACTTAAAGTAACTTAGCCTCTAGCAAGAACCAACTGGATGAGCCTGAGGTCTTGACAGTGTCAACATCTGACACTGCTAAGGAATAGGTCCTGGACTCAAGTTGTTCCTTTCATATGAGTCCAAACAAGAACTGGTTTCATAACTTAGAATCAAATGAAACTGAGACAGTCTATATAGGTAACAATCAGGCTTGTAGGGTCAAAGGAATAAGAAGTGTAACCCTTAAACTAACTGATAGAAAACTTGTAAAATTAACCAAGGTTAGGTATATTCCTGATTTAAAAAGGCATCTCATCTCCTTAGGGACCCTAGATGAGGTTGGATGCTTCTATAAGGTTAACAATGGATGCTTGTATGTGTATAAAAATCAGAACCTGGTTCTTAGAGAGGAAAAGAGAAATGGTCTTTATATACTATGTGGAGATTTTCATCCTGAATGCTTCAATTCTGTTTTGCCTTCTACTAAACAGACTGTAACTGAAAAATGGCACCTTAGGTTGGGGCATATGAGTCAGAAGGGTATGAACATCCTTAGTAGTCAAGGGGGGTTTAGCAGGGACACTATCTGCAACCTAGAATTTTGTGAAAACTGCGTGTTAGGAAAACAACACAGACTGGGTTTCTCAAAGGGAACTCACCTAGCCACAAATTGCCTAGAATACTTACACTCTGAACTCTGGCGACCTGAAAGAATTAAATCCCATGGTGGAAACAGTTACTTCTTATCCATAATTGATGATTACAGCAGAAAAGTTTGGACATTTCTCCTAAAGACCAAGGATCAAGCTTTGACAAAGTTTAAGGAGTGGAAAGTACTAGTAGAAAACCAACTAGGAAAGAAACTAAAGGCCTTACGAACTGACAATGGGCTTGAATTCTACAACACAGAGTTTGATAGCTTCTGTAGAGAACATGACATTCTAAGGCATAGAACTATAGCTAGGACCCCTCAACAGAATGGGATGGCAGAAAACATGAATAGAACCTTACTAGAAAAGGTTAGGTACCTTTTATTTACCTCAGGGTAATCAAACACATTTTGGGGGGAAGCTCTAGCTACTACAACCTACCTTGTAAATAGAAGCTCATCCATTGCCATTAATGGGAAATGTGCCGAAGAGATCTGGTCTGGAAGAAGACCAGACTTAAGTCACCTAAGAATATTTAGGTATGCTGCTTATGCACATATTGTGGGAGGGAAACTTGAGTGTAGGTCCACCAAATGCATATTCCTAGGTTATCAAGAAGGCACAAAAGGGTACAGATTATGGGATAAGGAGACTCCAGGGGTAAAGAGCATAGTAAGTCGAGATGTAGTGTTCAATGAGAGTGAATTCCCTTGCAAAGGATCTACCACTGATCAGGGAATCATTAGAAACACTGAAACATCTCCCAGCCCTATAGGTAGTACACAAGTTGAGGTGAAGCCTCAGACACAGCAGGTTAACCCTACCCAATCTGATTCAAACCCTCAAACCGAAGCTGAAACAGAACACCTTGAACCTAGACAACCAGAAGAAGAAATCACTGATGAAATCCTAGAACATCAACCAGTTGATCTACAATAGTACCAACTTGCAAAGGACGGAACCAAAAGAGAGGTAAGGCCACCTGCACGCTATTCTTATGCTAAACTAATTTTTACTAACTTGCTTGCAGGTACAAAAGTCCAGAGAACAGAACCTGAAACATATGATGAGGCTATGAAGTCTAAAGACAAAGACA